GTCAACCAGTTAGACCTCAAGAACATTACCAGGTAAACCAAGTCAACAAGTTAGACATCAAGAGGTCTATCAGGTAAAACAAGTTGACCAGTTAGATATCAAGAACACTACCAGGTAAACCAAGTCAACCAGTTAAACCTCAAGAAAACTACCAGGTAAAACAAGTTGACCAGTTAGACATCAAGAACACTACCAGATAAACCAAGTCTACCAGTTAGACATCAAGAATAGTACCAGGTAAACCAAGTCAACCAGTTAGACCTCAAGAACACTAACAGATAAACCAAGTCTACCAGTTAGACCTCAAGAACACTAACAGATAAACCAAGTTGACCAGTTAAACCTCAAGAACATTACCAAGTAGACCAAGTCAACTAGTTAGATCTCAAAAACACTACCAAATAAACCAAGTCGACTAGTTAGACATCAAGAGCTCTACCAGGTAAAACAAGTTGACCATTTAGGTCGTTTTCACAGCTGATAGTCCGGTAGACTCGGTTCGGTTCTGGACCAATATTCATGAGCTTTTGTTACATTTGAGCTGGTGCGTTTGCATTCACACTGCACTGTGCAGTCGAGTCAACGTGTTGAACCAACCTGTTCCCTCGCTCGCCTGTGGGGGCGCTGCACCAAGAACTACTGAAAGAAACAACACAAAAACCTCTGAAGACACGTCTTCTTCTTCTTCTGTAAATAAAAACAAAAATGAAGTGGCATCAAGTTTTAGCAGTTTTGGGAGTTATATTTTGTCATTTTTCAAAAATGGACTCGGCATGAGCAGAAGACCATGGAGAATATTGTTTTCCACACAAGGCAGCTGACGGCTCCATATGAGGTCAGAGAAATGTGTGTTTGTTTACCCTGCGGAGCAGGGCCCGGTCTGTTTACATTCACATTGTACTGGAACCGCGCTGGAGTTCGCTTCTACCGGACCGAGACCTAGGTTTTAGCCCGGGCCAGAGTTCGCCTTTTTGTTCTGTGACAGAGTTCGATGGTGCGTTCACACCTCCCTAAATGAACCGGACTATTCTAGGAAAACGAGCTGGAGTTCGATTAAAGCGACTAAACAGGGCTGGTGTGAATGCACCCTTAGACATCAAGAACACTACCAGGTAAACCAAGTCAACCAGTTAAACCTCAATAACATTACCAGGTAAACCAAGTTGACCAGTTAGACATCAAGAACACTACCAGGTAAACCAAGTCGACCAGTTAGACCTCAATAACATTACCAGGTAAACCAAGTTGACCAGTTAGACATCAAGAACACTACCAGGTAAACCAAGTCGACCAGTTATACCTCAAGAACATTACCAGATGTACCCAGTCAACCAGTTATACCTCAATAACATTACCAGGTAAACCAAGTTGACCAGTTAAACCTCAAGAACACTACCAGGTAAACCAAGTCGACCAGTTAGACATCAAGAACACTACCAGGTAAACCAAGTCGACCAGTTAGACCTCAATAACATTACCAGGTAAACCAAGTTGACCAGTTAGACCAGTAAACAGACTGTAACTAATCCAAGAACCAGTCCAGTCACCAGATCAGCCTTCTCTTAGCTCCACCCCCTCCTTCCTCTTCAGGGATTGGTCAGTTCCTGTTCTCCGTGTGATGACAGCATCCTGTACCGCCCGATGCAGCGCAGCCTAACTCAGCGCCGCGTCAACATCTGGGGGCTCCGCCCACAAACCAAGTACATGTTCACCATCCAATCACTGAACGGTGTGTCAGCTGCCAGCCAATCAGAGCCGGCCTCTGTCAGGATCAATGTCACCATCAGCAGAGATGGTAACAAACAAACTACATTACCCAGAATGCCTTTCAGAGCTGCTGATAAACGCAGATATCTTGTTTCCTTTGTTTCTGATTGATTAAATGGTTCTGTCCAGTTCCTCCTCCGGTCTCTGGTCTGAGGAGGGCAGAGGTTTCAGAGAACACTCTGTCTATGGAGTGGACTGCCCCAGTTCTGCAGAACCAGCACCAGATCCTGGATTATGAGCTGCGGTACTGCCGTAAAGATGGTGAGGAGGCGGGTCAGTGGCAGTACGTGTCCAGTAGGTCTTCCTCTGTGGTTCTGATGGGCCTACAGAAGGCAACCCAGTACCAGGTCCAGGTTCGAGCTCGCTCTCAGGTCGGGTACGGACCGTTCAGCGCCATGAGGAGCTTCAGCACGCTGCCCGACGGTATGGACCCAAAGGCTCAGAACCTGTTGTTGTTTACTGAGTTTGTTTGTTGATGTTTGTGTGTCTGTCCTGACAGGGACAACGTCGTCTCAGCTGGTGCTGAC